TGGAGAAAATGAACACTGACACTGTTGGTAGCATTATAAATTAGTACAACTTAAGGCAGATTTAAAGATAGGTAGTTAGTGGAGTTATAGAAATCAGTTCTAAAATCAAGTCTAATAAAGAAAATAGAGTCCATCTGAGCCCACGAAACCAGAAGAGCACCTAGGAGAGGAAATGTTAATATTTCTAAAACTGGGGTCCATCCCAAAGAACTGTTAATGAAACAGCTCCCAGCAAGACAGGGAGATGTTAATCAAATCATCCCAGGCCTTTTCTGCCCAGATCACTCCTCCCACCCCATGGGTCCAACTGTCTTCCACCTTTTTTTGGCTTTCCCACCAGTATCCCCCACCACATGCAGCCTAGAGGGACATAAGCAAAATAAAGGACAGGAATGGAGAAGAACAAAAGAAGACCTTAGATATAAAAGGGAGAAACCTCCCCTTACCTTGAATTCTGCTTTTCAGGTCCCTTTCTTCCTGGGGTGGGCAGGTGGGGAGGGTTGGGGGCGGGTACTTTCTGCTACCCTTTAATAAAGCCTTTGCACTCTACACTTACCTTGGCAGGCTTCTCTGGTGTTATACTTCAGCATTCTGGGAAGTAAGGACTCATCACAGTGAGTGGTATCACAACCACTGGTGAAATCATTATGGAGGTTCCTCAAACAACTAAGAATAGAGCCATCATATGGCCCAGCTACAACACTCCCCAGTAGATATCCTAAAGAGTCACTTTAGGATACTACAGCAGTACATGCACACCCATGTTTACAGCAGCCCAATTCACAATAGCCAAACTATGGAACCAGCTGAGGTGTGTCCATCAACAGAAAAATGGATAAACAAAATGTATGCATATATACACAATGGAGTTTTATTCAGCCATAAAGAAAAATGAAGTAATGTAATTTGCAGGAAAATGGATAGAACTTGAAGACATAATATCAAATAAAATAAGCCAAACTCAGAAAGTCAAGGGTTGTCTATTTTCTCTCATGGAAGGTAGAGAAAGAAAAGGAAAAGAAAGTTTAGGGGGAACGCAAGAAAATCAAAGGAAGGTCAGAAACATAGAGGAAAGAGACCAGGAGGAGGGAGAATGGAAGGGAAATGGAAACTACTGAGGAATGATAATGGCCAAATTGTATTGTTGTATTATGTGCATATACAGATATGCAACAAATACCACTGTTGTGTACAACTACTCTGTGCCAATAAAAATATGAAGGCAAAACTAGAAAACCAGTGTTGCCCTTGAGATTTCAGTTCTTCACTGTGGAAAACAGTATAGTGGCTACTCAAAAATATAACATAGGATTACCATAAAATATAGCAATTCCACTTCTAGGAATATACACAAAAGAATTAAAAACAAAGACTTAAACAGGTATTTGAATACCAACATTCATAGCAGCACTATTCATATGATAACTCAAAAGTAGGAGAAACTGAAGTGTCCATGAAATGAACAGGTAAGAAAAATGTGGTATATACATATGATGGAACATTATTTACTCTTAAAAAGGAATGAAATCCTGATACATGCTAATCTTGACACACAACACAGAACAGATGAAATGGGAAACATTCTGCTAAGTTAAAGACACCAGAAAGGAAAGATGAAATATTACATGATGCCACTTATACAAGGTCCCCAGAGTAATCAAAGTAGAACAGTGGTTGCCAGGGGATAGGGGAAGGAGCTAAAGAGAAGTTTTTGTTTCGTAGATACAGTCCAGTTTGGGATTATAAAAGTATTCTGGAGAAAGAGAATATTAATGGTCATATGCAGTGGGAATGCACTGAATACCACCTAAATTTTATGTTATGTTTTACCACAATTAAAAATACAAAATTTAAAAAAAAATTATTTGTTGAAAGACTTGAATGAACGGGTTACTTCCTTCTTTCCATTACTGACTGTTGTATTCCATTTTCATGATCATTCTAGATAAGTTATTTATTGTAAGAGGCCTCAAATCTTCTTGGTAAGAAGGCAAGAGTATGTGTATGTATGTGTGTGTATATGTGTGTGTGTGTGTGTGTATTTTTTAAAGTATTAATTGAAAGCCATAGGAAATGAAGACTTATGGTTTCATCCCTGTGGAATTAGTTACTTTGCCTTTGAAATTCCAAAGGTCTTTGTTCATACCTCCTTTATGTCACTAAAAACATTTTATGGCAATTTATCCCTTTCCCTGTTTTTCCCAATGGTCTGTGTGCTGAAGGCAGAGTATGTCTTAGTCAACATTACTTCACCACAATTTAACAAATTCCCTGGTTTCATCAAGTATTAAGTGAGGAATGCTTCTTATTTTGTTATGGAAGAATGATGGGTGACAGAATGTTGAAGAACAATTAAAAGAGATGATATTAATTTCAATATTTTCCAAAACCCTCAAGTAGTGGGTTTAAATGTAAGGAAAACAAATAGGCTTGGGGCCAGGGATTTGAATGGAAGTACAAACCATGTCTTCAAAGTAATTCTTACATTCTGTGCCATCTGCTTCCAGATGCTTCTCTCTGGATTTCTGTTTATATTTCCAAAGTGCATGATGGCTCCAGAGAGTCTGTAGCATCCATACTTCTCATCAGGAAGAAAGCACAAGATGTCCATGGTTTACTGCAAAGAGAGAAACAGATGGTCCTGTCTTCTTTTTTTCTAATGGCTGCTGTAAGCATCTCACCCCACTGTGTGTCACACCTCCCCCTCTAGGCTGTAGGCTGGCAGGAATGAGAACCACGGACCCCAGGGTTGACAGATATGTTCAAAGAAATGCAAATAGGCCCTGTTGGCAGTTGGCTACCTACAGTCTGCTAATCCATTTTAAAAAGAATCAGGCAGGCACAGACTTGGCTTGTTTAATTTCCAATAGCTTTAGAACTTTCCTTCAACACCCTACTCCTCTCCTGTCCCTACCAGCAATAGATCACTAACTGGTTGTATGAGGTCAATTATTTTGCATTTCATAGTTATGACAGCAAGCACCATATCTGCTGGGCTGCTTGTTTCTGTGGTCCCATGTATTCTCCTTATTTTAATCCAGAGTCAGCTCATTTCAAAGACTGGTAGGAGGAAGTCTTTAAGGAAAAAAATACATCATTATAGAATTGCATCTTGAGAAGCCTCTTGTACATGGTAAGATGTGCACTCTCATACATTCCAGGACAGTGAAAATAGAAAAATATGCTTTTTCTAGTGATTAATTTAAAATGTGTATCAAGAGACTATACAAAATTCGTGTTCCTTACCTGGTAATTTTATTTCTCAGAATGTAGCATAAAATGAATCCAATATGCAGAAGTTTCCCTACCATGATATTCACGATGTGGCAGGGTGGGGGGCAGCTTGAAGCTAGTATAATAGTATAATGGCACAACAATAGGACAAATGCCTTATAAAATACTGAGTATCCATGTAAATGTTTATGAAGAGTTTGTAACAATACTTAAAATGCTTATAAGATGAAGTTGAAAAATAGTATATGAAAAATAGTACATGCAGTATATTTATAAACATCTATTGAAAAACCAAGTAATAGTTAAAAAAAAAAAAACACTATAATGCCTCTACCAAAGCAACCCCAAATAGATTAAAGACAGAATACTATAGCTAGATATGCCCAATAAAAGAGGTGTTTGTCATTGGGTTGAAATTTCTTCCCGTAGTTCCAAATTTACTCCACTGACAATGTGTACTCTTGGTAAGCTTTGGACAGAAGCAGCCTTCTCCCACCAGGGTCACTTCTGCAAGTCCCTTAAGAAGAATGGAGAACCAAGATGCTTTCTATCATTCCTCATTGTCATCAACAGAGTGTGCTTTGACAATTATCAAGCCTTACTTTTGTGGCCAGCAATTCTTCAGCATCATCCAGGCTCTCCACAGCAAGTACTGCACAGGAACAAACATGAAAGTCAGGGGGGATTTGCAGACACCAGGAATATGACTATAGTGGGGAAACCATCATTAACCAGCTTGGAGAATGCCAAAGGCCTGAGAAAATTATTGACCAATATTCACAGTTTACTCTCACAGCTTATAATATACTTGTAAATAAGCCACAATAAAATCCATATTCTGGACCCAAACCTCTGCAGTCAATTTTTACCCTCTATTAACTTTTCAGTCATGTCAGTCAAGTGTTAATACCTCTCAAGAGGAGGCTGGCCAAATCCAAAAGCAAATTAAACTACAACAGCTTGAATTGGTGTGAAAACAACAACAACAACAACAAAAACTAAGATAATGTGTGTTGGCAAAACTTTGAAAACAGGAATTTGGCCTAGACTCATGGCTGAGGGCCAGGGGATGAAAAATGTTTTGTAAAATTATAAGTAGAACAGACCTGAGCTTCAAAGGCTAGGAAGCAGCCAGGCCCTGGTATCAGCACCCAAGGAACATCAGCAGTGTAGCCTGTCACATCACATCCTCACTCTTAGAAGGCCCAGTCTGACTTTCAAGCGATCCATAAATTGGCTACTGTGTTTAACACTGCACCACTGACATGTCCGACTCCAGATGTGATTCACTTCATCAGGAAACATGATGCAGGCGAAAGCCAAGGCAGGCTGTCAGCAGCACATCATCAACGGACTTGGCAGAATTACTCCAGACCCACCACCAAACATTTGCTCCTGAGGAAGTTGTTTTTTTTTTTTTTTTAAAAAAAAAAACTCTTTCCTGTTTATCACTCATTGAAGTAAAGATCTATTATCCTGAACCTCAATCTCAGACACAAGAAATTGGGCTACAGGAATGCTTATGAATGTCTATTTGGAAAGAAGCCAAATATCTATTGTAATTGACTTAACTGTTGTAATATTCACACAGTGGGTTATTATTTAATATACAAAGTTCCATGAACCATGAGGGAATGTCAAAATAATTATGCCAACAGAAATCAATCAGACAAAAAGAATATATATATATGATTTTGCATTACAAAATTCTAGAATATGGAACCAGTCTCTAGTGACAGAAATCCTAAGTAGTTGCCTAGGGATTGGGAAGGACTCAAACAAGGGGCAGGAATCAGGGATTCTAAAAGATCCAGAGGAAACTTCTCAATGGATGTGTGAGTTATCTTGATTGTAGTGATGGTTTTACACAAATGACAGCACATTCTGATTATATACTTCAAACATGTAAAGTTCATCCTAGGTCAATAATAAAACTGTTTTATAAAAATTTTAAAGAAACTGGCTAACTCAAAGAAAATCAAAGAAAAGTATATATTTTAAGTAGAAATACATAAAAATGTTAAGTATTTTATAAATGATTTTTATTTTCCTACTTGACAAATAAAAGCTACATGTATTTATGGTGTGCAAAATGTTTTGACATAATGGTACAATGGCTTGATCTCGGTAATATATTACCTCATATACTTACCTTTTTTGTGGTAAGACTATCATAAATCTACTCAGAAATTTTCAAATATCTGATGCATTATCATTAACAATCACCACATTAGCAACAGATCTTATGAACTCCTTCAACTGTTTTAGATTCTACCTATAAGCGAGCTCATGTGGTAGTTGGCTTTCTGTGTCTGGCTCATTATGCTTAGCATGACATCCTCTAGCTTCATCCATGTTGTGCAAAATTACTATTCCCCCAGGCTGAATGGTTTTCCTTTGTGTAGACATATACCAAATTTTCTTCATGAATTCATCCTTGTTGTGGTTTGGATGTGAGATATCCCCCAATATCTCCTTTGTTAATGTAGAAATGTTTTTCAGAGTTTTATTAGATTGTGAGAGCTATAATTTAATCATTCTATTCTAGTTTGGATGGTTGTTAACTGCATGTTAACTGTAGGCAGGTGGCATGTGGTGAAAGGAGGTGGATCACTGAGGTGTGCTCTGGAAGGGTATATCTTTCTTGTGACCCTCTTCTCCCTTTGTTCTCCCTCTCTGCTGCTTGACCCCATCAGGAGCTGAGTAGTTTTCCTCTACTGGGCTGTCTCCCCATGGTGTGATATCTCATCTTGGGCCCAGAGAAATGGAGTCAGCCTTCTATGTACTAAGAGCTCTGAAACCGAGAGGCCCAAATAAACTTTTCCTCTTCTAAGTTGTTTTTGTAGAATATATTAAAACAATCTAATAGTGCTGCAATAAACATGGGAATACAGATATCAATTTTGAATAACTTATTTCATTGCCTTTAGATATATAACAATAAGTAGGACTGGTGGATCTTTTTTTTTCTAAGAAACCTACTGTTTTCCATAATGATTGCACCAATTTAAATTTCTTTCTTGTCAACACTTGCTGTCTCTTATCTTTTTGGAAATAGACATCCTAACAGGTGTGAGGTGATATCCAGTGTGATTCTGATTTATATTTCCTTGAGAATCAATAGTGTTGGGCATCTTTTCCTAAACTTTTTGGCCATTTTTATGCCTTTTTTTGAGAAATGTCTTTAAATTCTTTGTCTACTTTTTAAATCAGTTTTTTTTTCCCTTTTGAGTTCCTTGTGTTTTAGGTATTAACTCCTTATTGGATGTATGGTTTGCAAATGTTTTCTCCTATTCCATAGGTTGTTTCTTCTCTATACATGATCGTTATGCACTATAGGAAATGAATATTAGGGTATAGGCAAAATATCAAGATTCTACCAGGCGAGCGAGGACTTCTTGGATTCAGACTGCTCCTAGGGTTTTTAGACCAAATGAGTAGGAAGAATCAGTGCAATAAATAAATAGAATGAGGAAAGATCCGAAAAGAAGAAAAATATACATAGGGTCAAGCTACAGAGATGGCATTAAAAACTAAAGGATTTTGAAGGAGCTACCTCTGAAGGGGCTGAGTAAGTGGGTCTGAGCCTTGCCTAGTACCAGGGTCAGACCTGAGAGTTAAGAAGCAAAGGGGTATCCACCACGGCCACATAGTGTCTAGTTGAGGGCTGGCTCACTTCATTTCCTTTGCTCCTTCAATGGGTGAGCAGCCTACCTTCTGCCCAGTTAATATGTGGTATTGACAAATGCCTATGTTTAGGAAGTTTGAATAAAATCCTCATATTTCTGAGGTTTGCTGTCTTGTATCCACCCTCAGGACACTTTGAAACTCGCTTTTGGCAAGAATGGAAAGAATTCCAGATCATCTTTTGAAATGTCTCCTTGAATGACAATGAGTACTGAAAACAGTGGTCTGACAATAGCCAGTTTAGACCAGCAGATGTCAGACTTTGCACAGTAATCAATCTGAAAAAAAACCCCAAGTTGCAGCAAGATAAATTAATTGAGGAAAAACATGAATTTTTTATAGTACAAAGGCTTCCATGTCCTGCAAATTAGTAATCATAGATTTGTCACAAAATCTTGAGGTTGTAATTGGTTTGTAAACTTATGTGTCAGATGTCTTGCACAGTATAAAAATTCATGTCCAGAATGTGAGATTTGACAGGGCTAATCAATGGAAGACAAAAATATCCTGTTCCAGGGTTAGGAGGAAAAAAGGCTGGGAGGACAATAGCCGCAATTTACATATCATGAATTATACTCAATGACAACAAGAATTGTCTAGGATGCAATTTTCCCCATCAAGTAAACACAATTTGGAGTTGAAAACCAAGTAGTCAAAATGCTGCCATATGTATATCATGCTTAATCTAAACATAAAGGACTGTGGGAAAGGTTCACATCTTTTGCTAGCCTGGATCTGCAACCTCAGCCCATATTCACTCCTGTAGGAGCTTTGCTGTGCTCAATGGCTTGTCTCAAATGCAATGAAATCGGCTTGTTATTCTTCCTTTCTAATGACTTCCCATAGCATTTAAATATAAACCATCTCTGTGGCGACCTGCGGGATGCTTCACAATCTGGCTCCTGCCTAACCCCCTCTCTATGAACCTTCCCACTTGACTACCCATAGTGGCTGTTTGCTATTCCAAAAAGCCACCGGATACATTTCTGCTTGGAGGCTTTCACACTCACCATTTCTTCCTCCTGGAATTTTATTCCTGAAAATCTTTGCCTCCTCACTTCATCACTCATGAATCTGCAAAAAAAATATTGTCTTCTAGAACAATTGCCTGACCATGCCATCTAAAATTAAAGCACCCACAACTTTACCAAAGCCCATTCTCTTTACCCTTCATTTTTTTTTTTTTTTTTGGTGGGGGTGGCGGTACTGGGGATTGAACTAGACCACTGAGCCACATCCCCAGCCCTATTTTGTATTTTATTTAGAGACAGGTTCTCACTGAGTTGCTTAGTACCTCACCAAGTTGCTGAGGCTGGCTTTGAACTAACAATCATCCTGCCTCAGTCTCCTGAGCTACTGGGATTACAGGCATGCACCAATGTGCCTGGCTGAATACATCATCTTATTCCCTCCTGGCCTTAAGATGTATTTTGTATTTTCTTTAGAGAAAGGGTCTGACTGAGTTTCTTAGCGCCTCACCATTGCTGAGGCTGATGTTAAACTAGAAATCCTCCCACCTCAGCCTCTGGAGCCACCGGGATTACAGGCATGAGCCACTCTTGTGCACCACTCTCTGAAATTATGTATTTATTTGTTAGCTTTTGTTGCCCATTTCCATACTCAAATGTGATTTCACAAGGGCAAAGAACTGTCTATAACTACTCTATCCCTCATGATTAAATAGCTGTGCCTGCTGCATACAGAGCAGTTGTAACATACACATACGAGTTGAATGAATACATGAAATTCATTGTCTGATCCCATATTGTGCTTTTCTCTTTCTGTTCATACCACTACAATTATCTTGGTCAAATAACACAACTTGGGAATATTTTTTGAGTAATCATTCTCTCATTTTCTCAGTCATTGCCAAGGCTGTTTTGTCCATGAACTCCTTCTCTATTCCCCCTATTCCCACAGATACTACCTTGGGTAAATGTCTTATCATCTTACGCTGACTATTGTAATCACTTCCCTCAAGTTTCTGCCTGCAGGCCATCCTGCCCACCACATCAGCTTAATCACCCTAAACACTGCTCTGCTGACCCACCAACCCCTGTAACACAGATGCATGCACACCCTCCCAAGTCCCTAGTGCAGAACCTATAATAAAATCTTGCTGTTCCTGTATGCAAATCCTCCATTCCAGTCAACCTGGACTCTATTCCAGATCTTGATTTGCCCTTTCCTGGTATTGTTTACATTGCTTCCCCTTCTAGAAACACTCTTGATTGCCTTGTTAAATCCCCCTCCCCACCCAAATCCCCCTTGTTTATACACCATGGTGATGTTTCTCCTCTGTCCCCTTGTCTATACTATTCACAACTCTAATCATTTGAGGCTTGAGGCCTTTATTATCTAACACTTTCATAAATACACACACACACACACACACACACACACACACACACACACTTTCCTGTTTCCCAATCCTACCAACCTTCATTCTTAAATTTCCAAATTGAGAAATTTGGAATATCGATGCTATTTATTCTCTACACTCAAACATATAGAACATTATTTGTTCAAGTCCTTTATTGTAGCTTTAATAAACTAAGGTCTACAAAGGTTAAGAGACTTCCTAAAATACTTTTCAGGCCCTCAATCTGTTTCTTTCTCTTGTTCTGGAATGTATACATGGTAGTTCCTCTCTCTCCTGGAAATCTTTGCTAGTCTGCTGGTAAATCACCCAGGATATTTCTAGCAAATATGAATGATGGGTAGAAAATGCATCAAGATGGATACTTAGATGTTCTTGCAAAACTCAAAAGAAGCCTGGCATGGTGTTGCATGCCTGTAATCCCAGTGGCGCAGAAGGCTGGAGAATTTCAAGTTTAAAACAGCCTCAGCAACTCAGCAAGGCCCTCAGCAACTTAGTAAGACTGTTTCAAATTTTTAAAAGTAAAAGAAAGAGGGGCTGGGGATGTGGCTCAGTGGTAAAGAGCCCTTGAGTTCACTCTCTCGTGCGCGCACACACGCACGTGCGCGCACACACACACACACAAAAAAAAACAAACACACACAAACTAAACAAAACAACACCCAAGAAAAGCAATCAATACAATTGTGCTTTCTGTAAGTCATTTATTGTAGAGACTTAGAGATCTTAATATCTGCAGATGGTATTTTGTCTCTGGTATCAAAGTACATCCTGACAAATATCCCCTAGGTGAATACAGAACTCAGTCTAATATTCAAACTTTCCAAATAGTCAGAATGCTATCTATCTCAGCATGGGTTTAATAGGAGATGGCACCAGTTAATGTTTGGAGGTAGCTAGTATGATTGCCAGGACTAGTAATGGTTCAGACTTTTCCCCAGATCTGCCTGTTGCTTTGTATTCTTGTGTGCGCTGTGGAATCTCTCTGGGTCTCAATGTTCTTATTTAAGAGAGAGAAATATCTGCTCAGCATACTCCTTCCTTCATTCAACAGTCATTGAACATCTGCTATGATCCAAGAGAAACAGCCATGGTCCCTTCCTCTATGAAACATATAAGGGCAAGTGGCTACTGCAGAACTTCTAACAACCTTTGGCATGTTTTGAAATCCAAATAAAAGCCAGTGCTACATCTTAGTAGGTAAGAGAAAAGGAAGAATAATTCCAGATGTGAGAGGTAGACAGCACCCTGACTTGTACACCATGTAGAACCAAGGAAAGAACAGGGTTTCATTTCATCTGTGCTCAGGAGACATTGGGATATTTTAAGCAGGGGAATTATATGACCTGATTAATGTTTCAAACACACTTTGCATTAATAACTTATAAGTATTGTTCCTTTCTTCTCAGTGAAAGCCACAAGGCAGGTAAGAAAGGCTGTCTGGAGGTGATAGTGCCCATATCAGAATGTCAGATGCAGTTGAGAAGAATGTCCAGTGGCCTGGAGGACAGATGAGGATGTTGGAGCAGGACAGAAGACAATCTGCTAAAGGTCGGCCCATGCCAGGATGGTACAAGTATAGGACAGAAGCCTGGTAGAGAAAGGAGATCGTCATGCACAGGAAGATTAGGCTAATAAATAAAAAATATGTAGGGCAAAGGGAGCAACACATACAAACGCACACATGCGTATTTGCACATATATACACATATACAGAAACATATTTATACATAGTATTCATTGAAATAATTCACTGGCTTTCCTGGTGTTTTAGACCCCCTTTTCTTGTCCCTTCCTTCCATTCATCTTTATGTAATTTTGCTTCTCTACTTCTTTTCATTCTTCCAACTTTATCCTTATTCTCTTTCAATTGCTCTTTATATTTCTGCTTTCTGTTCTTTTCCTTTTTCCTTTATTATAATCTTTTCTTTTAACTTTCCCTTTTTAAAAAAGTTTTTCCCCTTCTCCCTCTGTATTGTCCCTTTTTCCTCTCATTTCTTTTGGTTTCTTTCATATTTCATCAGAAAATAACAGCATTATAATAAATACCAAAAGTAGCATTTGTTTTAAGTACTGTTAGGAGTACCTGCTAGACCAAATGTTGAAAGCAGAGCAAATGTGGACAGCACTATTCTAAGCCTCTGGATGGAAGTTAGGCAACTCAGCATGAGACTATTATTTAATTATGTCCAGAGACTCAAACAAGAAGCCTTCTGCAGATTTCATTATAAATTATGCTGTGACTCCCTGCCAGTCATTCTTGGCATAAAATGGATTTGTGAAGCCAAGTTTTGAAATCCAAATTCTTCCTCTGTCATGGGACTTCTAGCTATCAAAATCCACTTAAAAAGTACTTTCTCCCCGAAACAAAAAAAATCTCCAGTGAAAAATATGTAGAAGTAAGGAGGTTATACACAAGAGTGGAAACAATAATTTTGGTGAGTGAACTAGGAAATACCTGCCAAATTGACTTGTTATAAGCAGTACAAGAAATTACATAGGAGAAAATATTCCAATCTATAAAATATAATAAAATATAAAGCATCACTATAATTTGGGGGGCCAGCTTGCCTACTGAGAAAGGAAAGAAATTTGAAACAATTAAGATAAATACTTTCATCTTGAAATCGACCAAATAGAAACAGACATTTATAAGTAGTGTTAATTGTCCGAATGATGAGGTTGGTTAGTTTTTTTGAGGAATATAACCACATTATAGACTTTAATCTAAAAGATCTTTTTTGATGTTCTAGAATTTTTGTTGCACCTATTTGCTCAGACATGAGTTTTTATCATTGCTTAAAAGCTAAAAAAAAAATCTGATACTATGCAAAATCATGTTACAAGACAAGAGGAATTGTTATTTCTCAAGGTTTTAGTATTTTCAAATGTTTCCAAGAGAGCATTCACTTACATAATATGATGTTCTAATTTTTTTTTTAACCTGGTACTGGGGTTGAACCCAAGGGTGCTTACACTGAGCCACATACCCAACTCTTTTTTTTTGTTTCTTAATTTTAGACAGGGCCTTCCTAATGTGCCAAGGCTGGTCTAGAACTTGTGATCTGCCTGCCTCAGCCTTACCCATAGCTAGGATTATAGGTATACAATATGATTTGATTATCTAAAGTCTCCTGAGATGCATGCAAGAGAAGAGCAACTGTTTTTAATAGTATTCTATAATTTACCACATTCCCATCTCCAAGTTCATCTCCATTCTGACTATGATAACCTATAGCCAAACCTGCTTATAAACGTGAATATGAAGTATTATTTTGGAATGAAATGCAAAAAAAAAAAAAAGCTCCAACAACAAAAAAGAGATCAAAGAATCTAAATAAGCCAAAATAAACAAAAAGTACCAAAGCCTATTTCCAGACGAACTCCATTCCATGTACTCCACCATTGTTAATTACTTCTCTTCCCATCTAATCCACATATCTAGAAACTTATCCTAGGATAATACAGCAAATTTACCATTACTAAATTTATTTTTGCTTGCTATTATTCATAAGTAATCTAGAGGTTCATACCAAGCAGTGACTTATAATGGTATTGATCTTGAATGTAGATCAGGCACACTTACGTGATGAACCAAAATGGCTCATCTACACAGTGAGCTTGAATGACCAGCTAGCAGCCACACTTCAGTATAGCTTTATTGTTTTCCACTCATCCTCAAAGACCCATTTTGTGGCAATAAGTGTGTGTATATATACACACACTCATTGGTGTATATATATGGTATTCAAGAACACATAACTTTACATATATCTAAACCCTTCTATGTAATATGGATCTTTGGTCCTTCCAATAAATAAAAGAACCATATAAGCAAAGATTTCCATAGATGTGATAAGCAATAATAAGACTGAATGACTAGATGAAACCAATTAATATGCACCCAAATCCCTTAAAACCCACAAATTTACACAAAAACAAGTCGTATCTAGCGAATAATAGAGTTCAATGACTAGAAAAGAAATCAATGAAATTTGAGAAGGTGGTGGTTGGAAAGAAAATTTTCTATAGCTTAAAAATTTGACCAGATGACTTTTTTGATATATTTCTTTGCAAAAACAGCAGTCAATGTCCAGGATCAAATTAAACAAGCAAAATTACAATGTCAGACATAGAAAGATAAGAGGTATAACAGCTCCGTAGCTCATTTATTTTGAGTTCCATTTAACATTACTAATTTAATTTTATTTTGATTGCCAATTTTCATGGTGTAGTTATCTTCAAATTATTATGAAGCCCATTAACATATTAATGGAGCTAAACAAAGAAAACTAAGTTAAAAATTGCCAATGGGCTGGGGGGTGTAGCTCAGCTGGTAGAGAACTGCATATCATATGCAAGACTCTGAGTATAGTCCTCACCACACACACACACACACACACACACACACACACACCCCTCTCCAAAAATGTAAACAAAATATACAGAGCGACGGCAAAGTTATTGAGAACACAGAAAGCTAGTAAAGTTGGACATTTGGGATTTGACACAGTAGTTAAGGGTGAAGATGCATATTGTATACTTGTAGGAATATAAATATTTCATTGTAGTTAAAGAAGCTTAGAAATATTTTTAAAAGTAGCCAGTTAAAGCACTGATAATTCTAGCTTTAAAGTCAGATGGTTTGAATCTTAAGTATATAACTATCAGAGGGTTCAACCAACAGAGACTGGACCAGTAAACATGTCATGAAGCAGAACGAAAATAAATGATGCGACATGCTTTCAGATTATTAGTGTAGAGCACATGATGATCCTCTCAAGGCATAAAGGTAAAAAGCAAGACTTTTCTCAACTTTGCTAATTGTTCTGTGGTTCTTTCCACCTCCTTACTCCTCACAGGTGGTCAATAGTTAATCAATTCTGATAATCACTGCAATGAAAGCTAAGCAGTTTTGACCATATGGAACAGGGAAGTTTTTATAGAAAAGTCAAAACTTAAGATGGAACTTTAGGATATGTAGACAGTTAATTGGTGAGGAGAAGGGGAAAGGAAGCATGATAAGAATCTAGAGTTTGATCCAGGCATGGTGGCTTGTGTTTGTAATCCCAGCAACTCTGAGGCTGAGGCATGAGTATCACAAATTCATGGCCACCTTAGGCAATTTAGGTAGACCCTGTCTAAAGATAAAAAAAGAAAAAAAAAAGTGCTGGAGATATAGCTCAGTGGTAGATCACCTTTGAGTTTAATCTCCAGTACCAGAAAGAAAAAAAAATCTGAAGTTCAGAAACATCAAGAAACTTGATAAAATCAAGAACCCTATTCCTGCCAGGTGTGGTGGTGCATACCTATAATCCCAGTGCCTCAGAGGCTGAGGCAGGAGGATTGTCAATTTAAAGCCAACCTCAGCAAAAATGAGGCACTAAGCAACTCAGTGAGACCCTGTCTCTAAATAAAATATACAACAGGGTTGGGGATATGGCTCAGTGGTCTACTCCTCCCGAGTTCAATACCTGGTACCAACATCCCCCCCACCTCCCCAAAAACCCTATTTCTCATGAACTTCTTTTGAGAAAGTAGGAAAAATTCTTTTTATTAAGTAGAGACAATCTCCTCTCTTCACTACCACTCCAAAAACAATTACAAAAATTTTGTAATTGTTGTTATCATTGCTGCCACTTGGGCAAATTGAGCCCTCTTCTCAGAAAGAGGCCTACCAATCATTTCACTAGACAGGTATTCTCTAGGCTTCCCCTTTGCTTTTGATAACCAGATATTATGATTTAGGTTTGGACTGTCTCCCGAAAGCTCATGTGTTGAAGGCTTGGTGCCCTTTCAAAGTTTGAAGGTGAAAATTTTGGAAAGTGATAGGATCATGAGGGCTCTGACCTCATCTGTAGTAGAATCATTTGAAAGTACGATTGAAAACTGTAGGAGGTGGGGTCTAGTTGGAGGAAGTGGGTCATTGGAGACATTCCCTGGAAGGGAATATCTTGTCCCGAGTCTCTTCCTTTCTCTTTGTTTCCTTTATGGCTGCCATGAGCTGAGCAGCTTTCCTCTGCCATGATCTTCCACCATGATGTTCTGCTGTATTATAACCCCAAAGCAATTGAGCCAGCTGACCATAGACTGAAACCAAGAGCCTTTTTGTCACAGTGCAAAAAGCTACCACCAGCTAATTTTGTAATGTGGAAAGAACACAGTAGTGAATTTATAGCTTTCTCACCTAAAGCATTAAAAGAATCAAGGCCTGACTTTCTATATCTTGGGATAGAAAACCTAAGACACAGAGTGACACCAGTATTGCATAGGAAGGCCAAGGACTTCAGCACTTCACAGCCTCATGAGTTTCAGGCACATGGTGACATTCACCTGCCCTGCTAGTGTTATTTCCATCAAAATTAATGGGATTAATTTTGATGGAAATAACAAAATGGTTTCACTGAAACTCTTTCCTTCCTTTCTCTTGACTTCTTATTCTGCAAAGCCACACCATCTTTTAGTTCCCACTACTTATTGTACCTTGCCCTGCCCCAATCCGGCTGCTCACAATAGCATGTTATCTGCTCCATGCTCATACCTACTAATTT